CTACTTCATCATCGTCGTCGTCTTCGTTATCAGTCGCTTGCATTGGCACTTCATAAATGATATTTATTATTATTATCATCATCATCGTCGTTATTATCGTAAATTTATTTTCGTTCGTAGTTTTGAATGCTTGTTATGAAATTCTTTTCTTTTTTATTTGCTTTTTTTTTTCGAAATAGCACATGTCGACACTTGTCTGAATTGTGATTTATTTCAAAATTTCCATTAACACAATTTAACATATATAATTTGTTACGATGTTTACACACGCACACAAACACACGCACACTACACACTCACACTCACAAACTCATATATATATATATATATATATATATATATATATACGCGTGCGTGCGTGTGTGTGTGTGCTTTGTAAGTGTTCTATGAATTTATTTCTTGATATTTTTCTTTCTTTTTTTTGTTTGTAATGATCATCATTTTGTACATAACGAAATCATTATTTTCATTCTAATAAACTTTGGAAAGGAACAGAATAACTTGTGTCTGCTGCTAATTTTTTCATCATTATTAAAACAAGATAGATGATTCAATTTGTTAATAGGTTAATTAATTAGTTAACTAAGTTAATTAATTAATATAATATAGCGCAAAACAGTTTTTTCCTTAATTTTTTCAATATTTAATGCTTCTACTAAGAGCCACTATTCCATTGAAAACCTCTCGGAAGGAGGGCTCAATTTCCGAGGGCAATATCACGAAACTCTTGCCCCTTAGCTCGGCGCATATGGAATACTTGATGGCCAGTTTGTCTTTAGTGTAGTCGTCGGTGCTGCCAGTGGTGGGATCTGGGTTGGAGAGGTTTGATAGAGTGTGGTTTGATTTTTTGTGAGTTATATGGATGTATTTTTGATTGTTGGAGGCTGATTATTTGAGTTTATGGGTTAAATTATAACCTAGGTTATTCGTTACATAACCTCTGATGAATATCTAAAAGATAATAATAATAATAAATAAACGGATTAACTTTCGTTATTAATTGTTTTTTTTTAATTTTTTTTCTCTACAAATATGACTTGAAGTAAAATGAATAGAAATAATATAATCTGCAACAACCATGAACATTTTAAGTTGATGGAAGTACGCAAATGAAGATATCGCAGCGTTTTGCTACCTTCATAGCAGGCTCTTAGACTTACCTTAAGTATGATATATTTTAGTGCGTTTTAAACGTTCTTTGCTGCATATCATGGTGATAAAACCGGTGTTTTTAGAAATAAGTCTTAAAACAAACACAGTCAATTCTATTGATTGGCGAGGCTTGAAATTTGTACGGAGTAAATCCCAAAATCGATTTAAAAGAGGGAAAATTGTAATGTAATGGTTAAGGTGCCTGTCATTGCTGTTGTAACGACAGGGTTCAAATGGAAGGAGATTCCACATATCTGATGCGTTGATTTTGCACTTATTCAAAGTCGCTGTATTTTTCGCTAATAATACCTCTAAGAAATATTAAAATGAACTGTGAGAGTACGCCATAATGGATGGGGAAAAGGAATGAAAACGTACATATGACTTCACATCCGTTCCCTCTTAACCACTTGGTGTTGTACGTGGCCTGTGTGGCGTCTGCCATCTTGTTCAAACCAACCATCTACGTGTGCATATGTGAAGGTGTTGAATGATTTTTTTAGCTAGTTTTTCATTCGTTGATCAGTTTCAAGCAAATTATTTTTCAAATTTTATTCTAAAAACAGTAGAATAGTTAAAAATTTAGATAGCTATAAAGCAAAACTTCTTATTTTTGTGGAGAGATGTTTGAATAACATTTAGAAAACCACATAACAAAAAATACAATATAAAAAACGAACCAACTCATCGTGATCCTTGGACCTCTCACACACTTTCCCAGTGTAGTTGATGGTGTTCCCAAATGGGAGCATGTACATATTCCCATAGGAATGCATGGTCAGCATGACAATGGTGTGCGACGCGATGCGTTTCAGTTCATTCGAGACGACTGTTGTTTCCGGTTCGGAGCCGGCGGACGGTCCTTTGTAGGTCTCCGAGCACTCTGAGCTGCTTGAGCCTTCCTCTAGAAAGAGTTCAAAAATTAATTTGTTAGTTTGTTGATTTAAAAATATATTTAAAAACACGGGATCAAATAAATAAAATAAAAATAAATAAAATAGAAAGAATTTATAGTTTTTTTTAGAAAGATCTATTTACTTCAATTTTATATTGTTGTTAACCCTCGATACATACTTCCCCAGTTAGTTGCAGCAAAGTTTCTGTTGAGGTCGACACCGAAACATCCAGCTTTTGTTGGGCGTCTGTTCTTCCTCCACATTCGATTCTGTTTCGTGTGTGTGTGTTTATGTATTCGTGTGTGTGTGTTTGTGTCTGTGAGTGTGTGTGACAGTAGTGTATCTGATAAAGTGTGTGTGTGTGTTCTTTGTGTATGCGTATGATCATTAATCGAGATAATTTATTATCCAATCAACATTTCGTTATCATACCACTCTACTATCATTTTATGTTACAACAGTATCACATCGTATCAGTATCATATTATAATAGCATAATATCATTTCAGTATCGTCTCGTTTCAGTATCGTCTCGTTTCAGTATCGTCTCGTTTCAGTATCGTATCGTTTTAGTATCGGGAAAGACAGATACCTCGAGAAATGTGAAGTTATATCCGTCTGGATTGACGATTGGAATGAAATAGAAGTCATATTTCTCAATGAGTTCCTTTGCGTCCGCGTTCTTACCAAGTACCAGCTTGATTATAAAATATTTGAATGATAACTGTTTAATTATCATAATTTATTATAATTTATTCATTATTATAATTAGCTCGACAGAAATATTTTTGTTATCATTTGTCATTATCCTATTTGTCGTCATCATAACAATACAATATAGGTACGCAGTTTGATACACAAATAGAAAGCAGAACAATGCAATAAAAAAAATACAATACAATAGAATAAATACAATACAATACAATAAATACAATACAGTACTATACAATACAATACAACACAATACAATACAATACAACACAATACAGTACAACACATTACAATGCAACACAAAGCAATACAATGCGATACAATATAATACAATACGATACAATCAATCAATCAATCAATTAGCTTATAAAGCGCTATTTCCGCGATGTTCAACAGCGCTCCTCAATGAATTTTGAAAACAGATGGGTCTTGAGATCCGCTCTGAACTTTGCAAGTGATGGAGAAGTAGTCCACAATACAATAAAATACAATACAATACAATAAAATACAATACAATACAATACAAAACAATGCTAACATGATCAATGATTTTTAAAATGGTGGCAGTGGTGATCCATTCCCTGGCGTGTGTTGTAGCGTCCAAGTACCAGGATTTCCGATTCGAGCCTGGTTTCATTATCTGCTCGCGAGGATGCAGAAGAAGATGAAGATGATGAAAAAGATGATGATGAAGAAGAAGATGATGAAAATCATCACGAAAATGATGGTTATGACGATGAGGACTTGATGAAGATGATTAGGATTACCTTAAAGGCCTTAATTGGAGTTTTCTGATACGATTCACCAACGCTGTAAACCTGGCACGTATGGGTCTTAGGGCATTTTGCCGGAAGTGTATCTAACCAATCATAGATCTGGAAAATTAAGCGGGGAAGGAACTACCATGTAGATGATCACGATTATAAATAATAATAATTTTGAATAATAATAGCTATAATTATGAACAATAATAACCATAATAACAATTAATAAGAATAAATAATAAGGACTTTTGTCAAGTTGTTGAATGTGTTCAAATCCATGTAGCTATCAGCGTCACCCACATTACTTCTTGCCAGGTTCATTGCCAACTGCTCTTCCTCAACCAATCTTATAATTATTAATATTTATTATAGGTAAATATAATTACTATAATAATCATTGTAATAGTTGAGTATTTATATAGTAATTATTGTTATAGGCAAATATAATAATAATAGTTATAATAATTTTTATAGGATATAATTAAAATAGTTTTTATTTTTTGTAGATGTTATTGCTACATATTAAAGTAAGAATTATTTTCATCGTAATAATTATGAAAATATTATGAAATTATGATTGAATAATAATTTTAAAAGATGAAATATTATGAAATAATGATTGAATAATAATTATTGAATGATAATTTTGAAAGGTGAACTCACTGCTGAAGGTTATGATTGACCACCTCGTACGGCATAAGCGTGTAGTCGACGAACTTTTCAAAGTCGTCGAATGTCTCAGCGGACATCATCATTGTGGTTTTGACGTGCAAAAAAGACGGTGGCCTCCAGAAGTCGATCTAAAATGATGACGACGACGATGATGATTTTGTTGTTGTTGTTAGTGGTGGTTATAGCGACGATAGAGATAATGTTTGTGAGTGTTGGATGATGTTGTTGTTGTTGGTGGTGATAGCGATGATAGAGATAATATTTGTGAGGGTTGGATGATAATGGTGATGGTGATGTTGGTGATAGTGATGATAGTCGAGAGGAGAATGATGATGATGAGGATGGTGTTGCTGTTGTTGTTGACGTTGTTGGTGATGATGATAATGATAATATTTTTAATGATGTTGATAATGATGATAATAACAATTATTATTATTAATTATTTTAAATATAACACAAACGTGAACATAGTCCCGGGCTAAATCTTTCAGAAAATTCAACTGGTCATCACTGGTTGGCACTACCTCAACTAACTTATAGCTATTAATTATAATAAAATAAAATACTATTAAAACAAATAAATTAATAAATAATAATAATAGTAATAATAATGATTATACTGATAATGATGATGTGGATGATAATAATAATAACAATAATAATAACAATAATAATAATAATAATAATAATAATGATGATGACGACGACGATGGTGATAACTGAAGATGACAATGATTGTGAAAATTCCGATGACGACATTGTTACTGATGATGATGATGGTAATAGTGATGATGACGACGATGAAGATGATGGTAATAGTGATGATGATGATGATGATAGTAATAGTGATGATGATAATGATGAGGATAACGATGACGGTAGTGATTCCACTAACGAAACTTTCCATATTTCTTACTTATCGAATCTTTTATAGGCAGCTGCATAAGCAAGGAACACAGTTGAAAACAGCAAGAGAACTACTGGCGCCTTCATCATTTTGACTGATTCGGAAAAGAAGAGCAATAAAATATTGCTAGAAATACTACTATTAATAATAATCTATAATTATATTATCAACAATAATTACGTATAATATTATTAATTAATTAATAATATTAATTAAAACCTTAAACCTTTTTAAAAGAAAATGTTGGCTAACCAAAAAGACTTAACAACCATGCAAAAATGTTTTGATGTTGGTATATTTATAACAAAATCGAACAATGGCTCTCTTATCATCTTATCACAGTACTTATATGATATGATTGAAGTTTTTCAGAATTGATAAGATATCTTAAAACTAGGTATCATTCGTCCGTCAACATACATACTAAGCCCCACACACACACACACACACACACACACACACACACACACACACACACACACACACACACACACACACACACACATACAACACACTTGCACACACATACAAATACACAGACACACACACACATTTATAGGTACAATGCAGAAAAGATAATTATAAATAATATGTGCTATCACATTTCAAGTATGCTACATGAAAGAGTAAAATTTTTTGAAGGAAAAATTGATATTATAAGATAAGAATATTATAAATAAACCATTATCAGAAAAGTCTTCCATGCCAAATTGTTGGCCTCCCGTGAGCACTGGCAAATTTTGCAAACAAATTTGTGAAAATCCCCACGGTCAGTCACTTTTTTTAAAACTGCCCATGCAGAGCAGTAGTAGTATTGCTGTTCTGAAGATGAGCCAGAAAAAAACGCTACTGGATTACCTCCTGGATAAGTAAAGTAAATGAGTCAGTAACATTGTTACAGTACAAGGCAACACATTCAAGTGTTATTGCATAACTTCAAAAAATCATCCAACTATTAAGTGAAGTGATCTTTAGAATTGATAAGAAAGAAGTTGTTGTGTATTATTCTATCCTAAGCAAGAAATTTTAACGTAAGAATTGAGCTATAGAGCTTCGACATTTGCATGGGTTTGGAAACATTTTCGTCATTATACAACTACCTTGCAATCAAAATTTGTTTTAAACATAATATGACGTCATATGACGTCATGTAAACAATGTAATTAATGTTGTTCCGTGTGTTTATTTCAAGTCTATTTAATCATACTTCTACCTGTTGATTTCATTACGGATGTAAATTTGTTATCAATCACATTTAAAGGGAAAAATAAAAGGAACAAATAGAGAAAGATAGAGTGAGAGAAAAAGAAATTAAAAGAGAGAGGGAGAGAGAAAAAGAGAGAGAGAAAGAGAGAGAGAAAGAAAGAAAGAAAGAGAGGGAAACGTATATTTAGGTTCAATAACTGCTTATTTGTTGTTGTTGCCAAGCAAGCTTATAATTGAGAGACCGATGAAAATCTACGTAGCGTTGTATATAAATATTATCGTGTCTATGTTTGTTTGTTTACATTGGTTACCGCATGTTTGATAGTTGTCTGTTTGTATATTAGTACATACATACATACATATACACATACATACAAACATACATATAAACACACATACATACATATATACATACATATATAGTATATCCATACATACATAACAATCACATAACTATCTACATAGTATGTAATACATACAAATTTTGTATGGAACATACATTTGTGACACATAAACATACATTTGTATATGAACATACATACACATATATTTGTACATGATACAATCATTATATTGTGTTGCATATGTTTGTTCTTGTTTGCATTGATTTTTCTCCATTATATTTTATCAGATTTGATTTTTTCTTGAATAGTTATTAATTTAAAAAACATTTCAAATGTTTGGAGGAGAGAGAATGTATCCGAATTTTAAGCAGAGGTATGTCTTTTCTTTATTTATGTTATCTTTTAAAACTTAATTAAATTGAAATTTCAAATATTTCAAACTGTTTTTTTTGGCAAAAAAACTAATCAAAGAGCATCTTCTAAAATTTAGAAGATAATGATAATTTAATGATAATGATAATTTTATTAAATTAAATTAAATAATAATAATTTTTTGCTTTTTACTGTTAAAAATGGCTAAATAACTAACGATATATAACTAAATAAAGATATTATTATTTATATTATATAAATAAAAACTATATTATAATTTTTAATAAATGTTATCTAAAAATCGTTCAAAATGGCAGCAAACCGGAAATGAACATCAGGGAAAAAACGAAAATCCTTGAAAGAAAAGCGGAACAACTGGAAAATGAATTAGGCAGTCTCCAAGCCGTTCTAGACGTTCGAAAGCAAGAGAGAGAGTATGTCATAAAAACTTTTAAATTTTATTCGAAATTCAAGTTTTATACTTAACATAGATGATGAAATATGTATAATATTGTTCCTTTGACTCTCATAACTACCAACACCGATGTCATAACTTCAAAGATCTCTATATTTCCAACACCAGTGTTGTAGCTTCCAACGACCGTCAAGTGTTCGTTATTCCTCAGGTTTAAGATTTCCGATAGATGAACACAACTGATCAAACGCAAACTTTGTTGAACGTTTATTTATTCAAATGCCAACAGTAATAGAAACAATAAACTGATCCAAGTAACTACGTAAATCACATTTACGACTTCGCTTTCTTTGCTGAAAACCTCACTTTAATCCTAACTGTGCGTGACTAGCCTAGATTTTTAGCATAGATTCAATAATTCTTCGCAATCCCCTATCCAAAGACTGCAAACATAGCAAAGATAACAATAATCAATTAATAAATAATATAGCGCAATTTGACTATTCCGACGGTTATGACAATATTCATACTCTGGACATTTGTTGAATGTCAAATAATAATTTTAATTTTTTTTCACTCCTTTGATTTGAAGAGTGCAGGTAGATGGTGTATGGCAGTCTGGTAAAAGTGGATCTATGATAAATTATGCAAAGAACATTAAGTCTAATGACGTCACGCTAGATCCAGTTTGTGTTTCTATGGTGTTTTTATATTTATCTCCATACTTTTATAATTTCAATTCTTAAATCTACTTTTAATCGTTTAAAAATTATAAACTTATAACGAAATTTGTTAATTTATCATTTGTTTTCGTTTGATTTCAACACAGCAAACATTAACAAGGATAAAATTTTTGAAACCTGAACCAATTATAATGAAGCCAGTTGAAAGCAAAGAACTAACTACATTGCAAAACTACTTGAAGCAATCAACCACCACCCAAAACCAACAACATTATCAAAATCATCATCAGCCATCAACGTCATCACCATCAATACTCCCGTTACCATCATCATCATCATCATCGTCGTCGAAGATGATGATGATGATGACGAAGAAAAAAATGAAGAGGCAAGTTTCTTTTAAAGACATCATGTGTGGTCAGTGCGATGGGAAGACTGCTGATGTGGTCAGTTCTCCGTCCTCGTCATCATCATCGTCGTCTTCATCATCATCGTCGTTGTCGTCATCACCATCTTTGCGTTTATCATTTTATTATCATCATCGTAATCTTTATCGTCGTTATCATTGCTGTCACCGAAGTCTGTCATCAGCGTTAATGCTATTTCGTTGTTGATTGATGTCATAATTTCTAAAAATAGTTTCATCATTGGTTACAAAAGCGCCACACACACGCACCACACACACCACAGGCACCACACACACACACACACACACACACACACACACACACACACACACGCACGCACACACACACACACACAAACACACACTTAACCATTGGTTTATAAATGATAATGTATTTAAATGACCTACATTGAAGACGTGCATCGAATGTGGTGAGGATTACTGTGCCACTTGCTTCATAACGTTCCATATGAGGGGTGCCTTGAAGAAACATAGGTCTAGGCCTTTTAGGGTTGGTTGGTTGGTTGAGTGAAGGAATGAATGAATGAGTGAGTGAATGAATGAATGAGTGAATGAATGAGTGGATGAATGAATGAATGTGTAGATGGATGTGTGTATGAATGAATGAATGTATGTGTGAATGAATGAATGAATGTATGTATGTATGAATGAATGAGGGAATGTATGAATGAATGAATGAATAATTGAATGAATGAATGAATGAATGGGTGGATAGATGAATGAAAGGATGGATGAGTAAACGAATGGATGTATGTATGAATGAATGAATATATGTATGAATGAATGAGTGAATGAATGAATGAATAAATGAATGAATGTATGAATAAATGAATGAATGATTGAATGAATGAATGAACAATCACCATCAGGTTGAACAGCAAAGAACGCCGAGACACGATGTTATGTCTAGGTGAGCCTTAAAGCTTTACTCCAATATAGTTTCAAAATTATTATTTATTTTCTGAATTTTAATTAATTAAATTAATTAACTAATTAATTAATTTAAATTGAATTAACTAATTAATTAAATTAATTAATTAATTAATTAATAATTAACGCTTAATAACTTAGTCACTTTATTAACCATAACTATTTCACTTCCGTATTTGTTTCATTTTTTAATTTCCATGATTACAACAACAATAACAACAACAGAACAAATTTGCCTCCACTATACAACAACAACAACAACAACATCAGCAGCAGCAACAACAACAACAACAATAATAATAATAATAATAATAATAACTTCGGGTCGTCATCATCATCATCGTCGTTGCTGAATGGACATTTTGACGAGGTCGAGAGCGCGCAATCGTTTCAAAGAGCCCTGCTGGAGTGGAGAGGTGGTGATGATGATGATGACTATGATGATGATGATGATGATGATGATGATGATGATGATGATGATGATGATGATGATGATGATGACGATGATGATGACGATGATGATGATGAAAATGACGATGACGACGATGATGAAGAAGAAGATGTTGATGATGATGAAGATGGTGGTAGTGATGATGGTGATGGTGATGATGATGGGTGATGGTGATGATGATGAGGTTAACGATGACGACGATGATGATAACAATGATGAGGATGACAATAACAATGATGAAGATAATGATGACGATGATAAAGATAATGATGAAAATATTGATAACACAAATTGCGATAAAAAAATTTAATGATAAAATCGAAATAAAAACTAACCAGTGTAAAAATTATTCTCACGCTATTCCATACTACAAACATACCAATCTATATGAGCTATGACCTACATACCTAAAGGTTAAAGATAACTTTCTCTTTTTTGCGAATTCTACCTATAAACACAGGTGAAAGCCAAAAACCAGATGACGTATCCGAGGCAAAGAACTTTCACACACAACATCATCAACAGCAGCAACAACAGCAGCAGCAGCAGAAGCAGCGTTATCAACCACAACACCAACTCAGCGCGACCCGTAGCTGTGTTTCAGTCGAAGGTTTGCTATATTTCAATTTCTTACTATTGCAATTTCTTCATTCACAATTCTCCATTCACTCTCATTTCATTTCCCTCTCAAACACGGAGTATTGTATGGGTGGTAGATTGTAAATTCACCCACCTATCTCATGCGTTTCATGTGGTTAGTGAGATAGCTTTGAGTTTCAAACCGGGCAATGCGGGAACAACAACACCAGGAAAGTTAACCACTAAGCCATCTTGCCACACAAGTTTTTTTTGGTTAAACGACAATTTGTTTTGACACGTTATAAATTCATTTGATTTTTGTACGTTTTTGAGAATGTAACCCGAGAGATAACACGATAATTTAAAAACGACATGAACTAAACAACAGTAATCAGTGTGCTTACAACAACTTGAACATTTATACAAACAAAAATACAACAAACAAACAAACAAACACACACAAACAAGCAAACAAACACACACACACACACAAACAACCAAACACAAACAACCACACGAACAGAAGTTGGCACTTCAACTGCTACATCATCATCAGAATCGTCCCTTAAGACAAAATCGGCAATCGAACAGAGAATCATTTTTAACAGCAACAAAAACAACAACAACGTCAACGACAACATGTCCTATGTGGATCGCTTGTTGTTGAAAACTCTTCGTAGAACGAGCTTAACAGCCACTGGCTCACATTCAGCGCCCGATCTTAACAAAGAAAAACCTTCATCCCGCCACAAACAACAACACCAACATCAACAACACCAGCATCAACAACAACAACATCAACAAAAAAACATCACATCACGTGATCACAATGACGATAACAAAAATGATAATGACGATTATTGTGGTGGCTTTAGCAGCAAAAGGAATGATGGTGAAAGATGTGAGGCTGACGACGATGATGAATGTGAAGACGAGCTAGCCAGATTCGGTTCGAGACTGTCTAACATATTAATTAATGACGCTCTGGAGTTCACCAACAAAGGTTATAAAGCTACTAACAAAAATAACAACAACAACAACAACAAAATTTCTTATGACGTGTACAACAACGACAACAACGACGACGACAACAACAACACCAGGCCGAGTTCCGTCATAATAGAAGAGATAACAACAGAATATAACAACAACAACAACAACAACAACACTAAGAACAATAAGAATAAGAATGAATTTGTGGTAGCTGGGGAGAAACATGAGCAATATATTGTAGAGGAGCCTGCTGAAAATTTAACATTTGACGAAAGAAAAAGTAAGTTACAAGTTAATTAATTAATTAATTAATTAATCAATTAATTAATCAATCATTCAATCAATCAATTAATTAACTAATTAAACAATCGCCAGTCGATTGCAGTCACTAGATAACTGAATAACTGAATAAATAACTGATTTAAAAAATGTTTTATTGATTTATTTTGAGCATTTAATTTCTTCTTCATTCTCGTGCCTTATCCTTTCAGTGTTTCGGCGACCACCGACCTCCACAAAACTTTAATCTTTTTTTTCACATTTCTTTAAGAGATAAAAATTTAATTAAATTAATTTTTTTAAATTACTACAACTCCAGCCAAATCTGCGTACGATACATTCAAAGTGAGAATTTATTTCATTTATATTTATTATTACTTTTTCAGTTACTACTGCTACGAAAGCTGCTAATAGTACTGTTAATACTGCTGCTACTGCTAGAACTGCTAATAGTTTTACTTTTATTATTGCTACTTATTATGGGTACTAATATTATTACCATAATTATTTATTAATTTTTAAAATTTATTCTTTATGATGCAGATCTGTAAAAAGGCCGAACTGCTTACACGCTATTTAACTTGATGGTCTTTAAGCTGTGGACAGACTGTATTCGAACCACGCCACTGCGTAATAACAGCGCTAGAACACGGCACTTCTACCGACTGAGCTAACTCGCTGAATAGTAATTGTAATTTTTTTCAGAGCCCGCGATTGGCTGGCGACCAAAGTTCAAGGCCGCTAACAACAAAAGACAAGAAACATTTGAAGGAGGAGTTAGCCAATCAGGATGCTTGCAATGACAGGGGCAAAACTAGGTGAGATTATTTTCCAGATTGAATTATGGAAAATTATACTTAAGAACAATATATATTTATATTATATTTAATAATAATAACAATAATTTAATAATAATTTATGTTTTTTTCAAATTAATTGTTTTTAAGAATTTTTTTCTCTAGAATTGTTCCAAGGGAAGCATTCATGGACGCGGCTGTGGACGCTTTCGAGTTGCAGTTGAATAAGTTGAGCCGCAACAACAGCAACTACAGCAACTTCAACAAATTTATTTACAACAGCAACATCATCAACAACAACAACAATAATAATAATAATAACAACATGAACTCCGATAAAAATAATAGTAATAATAATAACACTGGCAGAAAAATTTCCGACAATGGAAATATGAGCAGTACTGGCAGAAATGTTAATAACGAAAAATTGAAATTGGCGGGAGAATGGAATACGTCACGTGAAATTAATAATAATAATAATAATAAAAATAACAACCCCTTTGTTGTTGATGATGATGACGACGACGACAAAGATGGCAAAAATGAGTGAGTATTGTTGAGATAAGTTACACAGACACACACCGCAAACACACACACACACGCACACACACACACACACACACGCACACACACACACACACACACACACAAATACAAACACTCAAGCACGGGAATAAAATTTTATTAACGATCTACTTACTACAATTTATCAATACTGCCATTAATTATCTTATTAATAATATTATAATTTATTATGATTATAATAATATTGTTATTAATAATATTGTTATTATTATTCAATAATTGTTATTATTTTTAATATAATTACGTCAGAGGTCACCTGACCAAAAGAACCACGCATCGTTTGAAAGAAGTAGCTGCCTTAGCGACAGCTGACGACGACGACATCAACAACAACAATAATAATAACAACAACAGTAATAGCAATGGTAATAATAAAAATAATAAAAACACATACATCGATGACGTCACGACTACTTCTAGGATTACTAACCTCATTGGTGGTGGTAATAATGTTAAAGGTGGCAAAAATTTTCAAATAGTTTTTCAAACTCTATACCACTGCGCTAATGTTTTATGACGTCATTATGATTATTATAATTAATAATTTTAATAAATTATGTATAATTATTTTTTACTCAATAGAGGCTAGGTTGAGCGCGCGAATTCAAGATGATGGTCTTTATGCTGCGAACGAGAGCATGAGCTTTCGAGAACGTTAGTTATGATGATGATTGAGGTGAGGACGATGCTGCTACTACTACTGCTGCTAATAATGATGACGATGGTGATGATGATGACGATGATGATGAGGTTAGAGAAGTGAAAATGATGATAGTCTTGATTACGATGATGATGATGATGATGGTGGTGGTTACGATGAATGAGGATGATGATGATGCTGATGATGATTAATATTGAAATCATCATCATCAACACAGTTTGTCAATCAACCAGTAAATTGTGGGACATGAACGCCAGTATTGTAAAGAAGAAGAACAATAATAACAATAATGATGATGATGATGATGATGTTGATGACGTCAACAATGATGATGATGATGATGATGGTGATAATAATGGTAATTATCCTGATGATGACCACGGCAAACTTGAGAATAATATCAATAATAATAACAACACTGATGATAATAGATACAAAGAAGAAGATGATGACGACGACAACAACAATGATGATGATGATGGGAGTGATGATGGCAATGATAAAGATGTGGATCGTACGCCGAAGGCCTCAAGCGAAAATTCTAGAGGCTGGAAAAATTCGGTTGAACCAATTTGCGCGCCATTGTACGGCGAAATTTACTCTAACCCCTGCGACATAGATGGCGGTGACGATGACGTCATCGCCAGCAACAACGGCAACATAAACAAAAATAAAAACAACAACGACGGCAGCAGTAGTAGTGGCAGCCACCACAACAGCAGCAGCAGCAACAACAACAACAATAAGCACGACATCAACTACTTGAATAGCATTTACAACAATATCAGCGTCGAAAATTTTGTTATAAAAAATAACAACACTAAAACCAAACCGCCATCATCATCAGCACTTCTGTCGTCATCGCCATCATCATTATCGTCATCATCCTTGATGAAAACAATGCATTCCGCCGGCTCTCAATATTTAGCTGCTACTAATGCTACTTTCGCAGCCACCGCGTCCACAAACATGAAGAACAAATTGGCCAACCCTTCAATGACTTCATCATTGAATTCTCTTAAAAAGCCGTCATCATCAACAACAACAGCAACAACGACAAAAAAGATTTTGAAAAAAATGTCGTCATCGTCGTCGTTATCGTCATCTGTGGCCAGTGCGTCAAATAGCAGCTCACAAGCGTCGAGATTTAACGAGGTGAGAAACAACAGAAACAACAACAAAACTAGCAAACTCAGAATGGGCGGCAACAGCAGCAACAACAACAACAGCAACAACAACAACAGCAGCAACAACAACAACAACAGCAACAATGCGGATCCACTGTTTATCGCAGGTACGAGTGTTACGTTGGTCAACGCGAAGGTCAACAGAAGTTCATCTAGCACGAGCTCCATTAGTGATAGGATGGTAGATAGTAACAACAGCAGCAGCAACAACAACAGCAGCAACAACAGCAATTTCAACTATAACATCAGCAGAAATATCAACAACAACATATACAATAATATGGATATCAACCAGATAAACCTTAATAAGCAAATCAACGCGCGCAACAACGACAAGAGTAGTTACAGAAGCTTGAGAAGCGGCAACAAAAGCAGCATCAACGTCAACAACAACAACAACAGCAACAACAACACAACTCGGTCAACTGACCAACAACACCACCACCAACACCGGATCATCATCCCATCTCCCGCCACTAAATTAAATTCAGACCGATACGACGAAGACGACGACGATGATAATAATAACGACGATCAGGATGACGTCATTGATGATGATGATGATGATGATGATGATGGTTATAATAATAATAATAATAATAATAATAATAGCGATAAAAAGAATAAGAGTAAAATTTATGACAACAAATATGAATTTAACGATGACGACGATGAATGTAACAACGGAAAACAAGGTTATGATAATGATGCCAAACGAAATAATGATAATGATGGCGGCGGTGATGATAATGATGGCGGCGGTGATGATAATGATGACGTCGTTGATGATGATGATGATGATGATGACGACGGACCGTCTTTCCACAGAGGAGTTCGGTAATTGAAATGTTTGTATGCACTTGTTCGTTTTTTTTCCTCCAATTCAATTCGTCCATCTATCTATTTGTATATTGCATTTGTATTTCTAATGTATCTCAGTGTATTGCATTGTATTTTGTTGTATTTAATTGTATCAACCGGGTATTGTATTGTTTGGTACTGGATGTTTTGGTTATAAGGGTATTGTAATGGTTCATGTTTTGTTTGTATTTGTAGTTATGCGATATTGCGTTGTTGGGTGTTTTGTTAAAGAAGTTTGTATGCATTGTTTGTATTTAATTGTTGTATTGTTTGTATTTATTTGTTGTATTGCTTGTATTTATTTGTTGTATTGTTTGTATTTTTATTTATCTAATAATGATGGCGGTTGTAGAAAACACTTTGAAATCATGAAAGCGATATTTTAAAAAATTATCTATCTGGCAATCACGGTTAGATAATTAATTAATTAATTATAATTAATCACACAGTCATTTAACCTTTCTCTGTTAGCTTCTCTCTCTCTCTCTCTCTCTCTCTCTCTCTTTACCTGTCTCGGTTTCTCTCTTTTTTCTCTCTCTCTTTCTTTCTCTTTTTCTTTCTCTCTTTCTCTTTATTGAATTATTTACTCACCTCATCATCATCTAGTACAGTAGGACTGATCTCATGTCGCAAGAATGATGAAGATGAAGATGATGAGATAAGAAGGACGTCAGGCTGTCATAGCAACCGATGCAAAAGATGTGACGATGATGATGATGAAGATGATGGTGGTGATAGGCATGGGGGTGGTGATGATGGGCATGGTGATGATTGGAGTAATAAAGGTAATGACGTGATGGAACTTAACCATAACCAGGTAAACAGAAAAAAAAATAATGATAACAAAATGATTAGAATTTATGATGACGATGATGATGATGGTGGTGATGATGATGTTGGGTTAGTAGATTTGAGAGTGGTTAATAATGATAACATCGGTGATGAAGATGATGACGATGAGTATGATGATGGTGAGGACAGGAAGTTGGTTAGTTCGTTGAAATAAAAGAAACTAATACAAGACAACACAAAATAATACAAAGTAATACGACATACATACGCATACATACATACATACATACATACATACATACATACATACATACATACATACATACATACATACATACATACATACATACATACATACATACATACATACATACATACATACATACATACATACATACATACATACATACATACATACATACATACATACATACATACATACATACATACATACATACATACATACATACATACATACAAACATACATACATAAACATACACATTGTTCTTTCTTTTAAATTCAAAATGTCATACGTTAATTGTTATCTTCGTTTACTCCTTAAATAATAAACATACATTTAAATATGCATATATCCATACGCACACAGACACACACACACATACATACACACACACATACACACAGACATACACACACACAGACATAAATCTACAATATTTTTCTTGTTAATTATAATTTAAAAGAATAAAATTTGATATAGCTACTTGTTGTACATTGTTTTATAAGAAGTCAATTCATGTATATGATTCATTTGTATAAATTTTTAAAAAAAAAAGGTTTCAATCTTTTTTCTTCGATTTATATCAATTATATTTTATGTGCGTGTGTGTGTGTCTGTGTTTGTGCGTGTGTGTGTGTATTTATGTGTGTATTTACCTTTCTTTTTTTCACGAGTTTTGTTTCTTTGTGTGTATGTTTTGTTTGTGACCGTGTGTGTGACTGTGTGTGTGGGTGGGTGGGTGGGTGGGTGATTGTGTGTGTGTGTGTGTGGTGTGTGTGTGGTGTGTGGTATGTGTGTGTTTGTTGTTTATTTTTTGTTTTTTAAATTAAAAGTTCAAGCGGAGCCTACATATCTTTTTATTTCCTTTTAAAAAATTATTTTTCGGCTTTCAATAAATTTCTTCTTGAATCCGTTCTTCAAATTGTTAATATTTTATTTTTTAATGTTTGCCTTCAAATGCATTTTTATTTTTTTAACTTGGCTAAATTTTAAACTTGAAAATTATCTTTTTCAGCATTTGCTTATTTGAAATAAATTGCTATTTGGAAAAGTTTATGTCGCTGTTTCCATCTCGCCATCGTCATCATCATCTTCATCGTCGTCGTCGTCTTCATTATCATTATCACTGTTATCACACACGCACAGCACACCACACACATACAGACACACACATACACACACTCACACACAACGTATATATTTTTTGTGTTTTTCTAAATTAACCTAATTTACAATGCTGCTTTAACAAAAATAAATATGTACAAGAAGAAACCTCAATTAAGTTCAGTGCATCTATCTATTCATTCGTTCGTTCTTTCATTTATTCATTCATTCATACATTCATTCATTCATACATTCATTCATTCATTCATTCACTCATACTTTCTTCTTTTCATCGGCTTGCTTGTTTATTTCCTCTTGCATCTCATGTTCCTTATTATAATAATTGTCATTATTAATGTACGGAATAATAATAATAATAGTTATTATTATTTTATTTCTCTTTGAATCTTCCATCCATTAGTACATTCCATCAACCGGTTCTTTAAATTTTTATCAGAGCACTGAACAATCTCATTCATTCATTCATTTATTCGTTCGTTCGTTCATTCATTCATTCGTCTATTTATCCATACATTTATCTATTCCTCAATCTATCCATTCATTCATCTATTCATCCAACCAGCTACATTCAGTCATTCGTATCTCCCTACATTTCAACATAACACGATTGTACATTTTTTCCACGTCTTGATCCATTTAAAACCCTAAACAGACATCAGATTACCGAAAACCCCATTTAAAAGTTAGTAAATCACGTGATAGAATAATCGTGTGACGTCATCGAAACAAAAGCACGTGACCGAAACAACGGCACGTGACTGAAACATTACGCGAATGAACAAATATGGAGGACGATGATTGATGTTATGTTTTTCTCATCAAGCGACGTTTGGTTTGGACAATCATCATCATCATTATCATCATCATCATCATTATCATCATCAGCATCATCATCAGCATCATCATCAGCATCATCATTATTATTATTATCATCATCATCATAACCACTTTTCGTACTATCATCATCATCAACGTCATCATCATCATCGTCGTCATCATCATTCTTATCGTCATCATTAGATTTTACGATGTCGTCTGTTGCTGGAATGAAGTGATGTTGAGAGATTAAAAAAGATTACATATGATAATCATAAGACTGGTTACACTGTGACAGGGTGGGAAAATTAAGGCCAGCGGCCCGCATGCTGCCCTCGAAGCTATTTTATGCGGCCAGCGATGCCCAACTTTGCACTATGATGATAGTAATTATTAAACGATGACAATGATGATGATGATGACGATGACGACGACGATGATGACGACGATGATGATTTGTCATTCACGTAATTGCATCTGCGCTCAAGATGGCGCGCGTCATCAAGGAGTGGTTAATTGAATGAGAGAGTGAAAAAGTGAGGAAATGAATGAAGGAATGAGTGAATGAATAAACGAATGAATGCATTTATTAACGATTAAACGAATGATTGAATAATTAAATAGATGAATCCATGAGTGAACAAATGGTTGCAATAAACTTATGAATGAACGAATGGATGAATGAATGAATAAACAAATGAATGAATGAATGAACAAATTAATAAAAAATTACATGAGCAATAAAACGAGTGAATGAACGAATGAATGAATGATTGAATGAATGAATGCAAGCGACGGGGACCGTTACGTAAAATAATTAATAAGTTTGAGCAAGGACAAACAAGATGGTGAAAATTATCACAAAAATAAATAATAAGAATTATTATTATTATTATGATTGTTGTTGTTGCTTTTGTTGTTGTTGTTATTCTCCATCAGTTTTTTTTATGTTTTACACTGCCTTTGTCGTCGTGTTGTGTTAGCGCGGTTCAGCGGTTCAGAACAACAATGCTTTTTTCGTTAATAATATTATACCAGATTGAAATAAATTTCAAAATAATAATAATAATAATAATTATTATTATTATTTTATTATTTTTACAATTAATAGAAAAAAATAGCCATAATAATTTTACTCTGACGTCATAGAAAAATTGCGCGACATTAAGAGTATTAGAGAGGAAGAAAAACATTTTGCACGCAAAACATTCTTTATTTTCGCGCGTCGTGATTATTATTATTATGATTAAGATTATTATGATTATTATTATTCTTTTTATTCTTATTATTATTATTATTATTATGGAAAGATGTGGCTTCTTTTCTTTCTTTCTGCTTTTTTTTGGTCATGATACTTTTTTTAACATTATCATATCGTCACATCTGGAGTGAGTGTGTGATTGTGACGCAGATAACAAACAATAGAAATAATAATAATAATAATATCAACAACAACAACGACAACGACAACAACGACAACGACAACAACAACGACAACAACAACAAAAACGTTTAACGAAAATGATAAAAATCGTCTTTATCAAACTGCCACATGACATCATTTGCCATCATTTACCAGAAACAAAAAACTTAACAGGAATAATCGTTTCCAGATATTTACGATCGTCTTCTGGCGCAAGAAATCAGTGACGTCATCACGTGACGTCAGCCGTCCAATAGAACAATAAATCCAGAATCAAAGAGGCATTATCGCCCAGCATAGACATAAACAAAAAACGTCAAAACCAACATTAACAACAACAAAAACATAAACAACATAGTAAACATATGAAGTGACGACAATGACGACTATGATGGCGATGATGATAACGGCGACGACGACGATGATGATGAAGTTGATAACAAAGATGATGATGATGATGAGGAGGGTGACGATGATGAAAAAAAAATTGAGCTGTTACATGCAAACATACCGCGAGTTAAATCACCGCGCTATCGTGCACTAGCAGCGTTTGCATATTTTTGTATATGTTTGTATTTTTTGTGTATCTAATCTACGTTTTTGTATTTTTTTGTGATTTATTTATGTGTTTTTATTGTTTTTTTATCAAATTTTTGTATCTTACGTAAGTTTTTTTAAAAGTTTTGGATATGTTTGTTTAGTTTTGTTCACAAATTTTTACGTGATTTATTTGAACGACTTTGTGTTGACGGTATAAAGAAATAGTAATTGTATTATTGTATCTGTATTTTTGAATGTTGGTTTATACAATTAACTAAGCGAATGTGGCTGTATTATTTTTGTATTTGTATGTTTGATTCGGTATATATGCACTTCATACCACAAAAAATGGTATTTATATGTATAATTGTATTAATATTTGTATACATGTTTGTACATACAATTAATTTGTATGCAGTTGACGTGTATTTATTTACCAGGCAATGAGTTTTGTATGTGTGTACATCTGTGTATGTATGTTCGTATGTGTCTTTGTATGTACGTATGCGTGTATGTGTGTTGTGTGTGTTTGTGTGTGAGTATTTCTATCTGCTGTTTTCAGGTTCCGATCTCTAACATACAGCGTGTTTGAATCAGCAGACCTTAGACGCCCATGTGATGACATAGATGAAACTCTAATACACTTATCTTCTAATTATTTCGGAGCCAGACCTTCAAACTTTAAAAAACCATTACACCCAACTTGAACACGATTCTTAGTATAACACGCAGCCAATGCAACTCCTTTAGGATTGGTGATGCACGATCAAAGTTTAATATGCGGCATATCATTCTAGCAGTCTGGTTCTGAACCGGCTGAAGTTTAGACAACAGTTTATCAACTATACCATAAAGAAGACTGTTACAATAATAATCCGATCTGGAGTTGACGAAAGCATGTACTAATAAAGTCATTGTATCTCTACCTACTGGTTTTGTGACTCGACATGTATGTATGTATTTCAGGATCTCTCATACATACATGTGAGTATGTATGTATGTATGTATGTATGTATGTATGTATGTATGTATGTATGTATGTATGTATGTATGTATGTATGTATGTATGCATGCATGTATGTATGTATGTATGTATGTATGTACGTACGTACGTACGTATGTATGTATGTATGTATGTACATTTTATGTTTGTCTATAATTAATTTTTTGTAACCTTTATACAATGTTCTCGTAAAAGTAATTTTATTTTTATCCACTTATTATTTATACTGGCAACATCTGTTTAACATTAGTAGCAGTGTTTGTAGTTATTGTAGTAGTAGTAATACTAACAAAATGGTTGCAGCAATGGAAGCTGCAGCAGTAGCAGCAGTAGTAGTAGTATTAGTAGTAGTAGTAGTTAGTAGTAGAAGTAGTAGTAGTAGTAGCAGCAGCAGTAGTAAAAACTGATGTAATTTAGTAGCTTTACAAAGAGCAAACGAAAATTAAAAAGCTTTGTGTTCGTATGGGTTAATCAAACAAAATTTGTGCCTTAGAATTAATGAACAAAAAGGTATATAGATATGCCTCGATAAATATAAATAGGCATGCGAATTAATGAAGACATACAAAGGTTATTTAATAAAATAATTAATTTACTGAGTTTTTTTCTGTCAATTAATTTATTATCGTTATGTTTTTTAGATACATGAATGAATATTTGAGTGCATTAATGATTGAATGAATGATTAAATGAATGTACGAATAGAGAAATGTCAAATACATGAATTAATGAATAGTAGTAGCAGCAGTAGAGACAAAAACTGAAGTAATTTAGTAGCTTTACTGAGAGTATACATTATTTAAAAAGTTTTATTACCTTATTTTATTATTTTACTTTTAAAATATAGAATAATTTTTAAAATTTGCACGTTGTACATGTACAAGTCTCAATCTAAATTATTTCCTAAGTACTTATCAGATATATTAATTGAACCTAAACGCCCCGGTTTACGATCGTCTTCTTGTTCTCGCTTCTTCTTAACTCGCGTTAAACACTCTTTTGCTAAATCTGCATTTGCTTTTTCTGGCCCTTTTCTCTGGAACTCTCTACCTCCTTCTCTGACTACTTCTCCATCACTTGCGAAGTTCAGAGCGGATCTCAAGACCCATCTGTTTGCAAAATTCATTGAGGAGCGCTGTTGAACATCGCGGAAATAGAGATTTATTAACTAATTTATTGACTAATTGATTGAATGAGTGACATAATAAATGAGTGAATGAGTGCGTGAATGAATAAAAAATTATTCAAAAAATAAAAAAAATCCAGTTAAAAAATTAAAGCAATTGTGAAAATTTTCTAAAAAGGCTTTAAATTTTATTTTTCTAAAAGAATAATAAGCGTCAAAATGCGATTTCGCTCTATAGCCCTTAACAATAATTGGGTCTTACTTCATTCAAGTACCCCACACACACGCGCGCACGCACACACGCGCACACACACACATACATAAGAACCATTACTTACTCTACAAAAGATTATGAGGATAAGTTGAGTTAAAGCATAGTTTGGCGTGTGGTTGAGGTTTAGAATATCTGGAGTGGTTTTATTTTTGTATGTGTGCTTGTGTATGTATGTATGTGCGTGTGCGTGTGTGTATGTGGTGTGTGTGGTGTGTGTGTGTGTCTGTATGTTTGCAGCTCATTTAACCAAGCTAAAAAATTTTAAATTCCGTCACGAAATTAAACAATAAAAATTGTTGAAAAAAAATTGTTTTTTTCTCAAAAGTTCTTTTGTCTACAAAAGATGAACAAAAACAAAACTGAAAGACGCCTACGCACTAGTTGATTCGCGCTTAGGAAAGTGGGAAAAAATTCCCAATTATTTATTTATTGTAAGGATTAAAGTTATGAAAAAATTCCAGAAAATCTAAAATTAGAATGATTGATTGAAAGTATAATAAATGAACTAAAAATTGAAAATAAAGAACCAGCGAACAAACAAACGAACGAACGAACAAACAAACGCACAAACACTCAAGTTGCATAAACAATTTAATGAACAAAATTAACAGCAAATTTTTTTGTGAACTTTAAAAATTTCAAAGGGGCGTCAATCCGTTATGACAAAGATGACGTTTTGACGGAAAAAATTTTTCTTTTTGTCCAAAAAATTAAATAAAATAATATTTTATTAATTTAAATTATAGAACAAATTATTTTTTAGTATTAAAAATTAAATAATTAATTAGATAAAAACGACAATAGTTTTTTTTCTTTGATTTTTATTTCAAAATAATTTTACAGAAACATTTTCAAATTTTCCAAAAGAAAACGTACCAGCATACGAGGTATGTCAAAATTCATTTGACTGACAAAAGAAAAAAAATACATCATCGTCATCATCATCATCATTTTAATGACGTCATCATCAACAACAACATCATCATCACCATCAAGCCTAGTTAACAAGTTTTTTTTCTTTTAAAGTCATTCAAACGTTTTTTTGTCAACATTTTGTTCTCTGAATGAGTTAAAAGTTTTGCCTTCTTGATTGATGGTGCTAATGACAACCGTAACGTCGTCGCAGATGATGACGATGACGACGACGACGATGACAATGATGATGATGATAATGATGATGATGATGATGATGATAATGATGATGACTGTGATGATAATGATGACGATGATTATGTGGATGTTGTTGCTGCTGTTGCTGCTGATGGTAGTCGTAGATAATGATGATGATGATGTTCACGACAACGATGATGCAATAATGATGATGATGATGATGAAGACGATGATGATGGTGGTAAAGATTGCAATGTTCAAATAAAAAAAGTTCATTAAATTTTACTTAGTGTTACTTGACGATAAATTAAAACATGCGATCCCTTACGAACGAGCTTACTTATCAGCGTCAGTCAGTGAGAAATGTATAAACGATTATGAAACACCAACAAGCTACTAAATCGTCACGTACACACAGTTACACACACACATACCTAAACAAACACACACATACCTAAACAAACACACACATACACAGACAAACACACACATACACAGACAAACACATACACTTACACACTCTGCACTTCATGACAACTACATTAGATTCACATATCAGTTAGATTCACATTTCAGCATCAACAGCATCACAGCATTTCAGCATCACAGCAGTAGCCACAGCAGCTCCACTACTACTGCCACCACCACAATCTTCATGTTGACCACCAATAAAAGTATCTTCCCCAACAGCCTTCTTTGTATTATTCTTCCCCTGAAAAGATTTCATCTTCAGCGATTTCCCGCTTTTTTCATCGAGACCATCGTCTGCAACCACACTTCTGTTCACTGAAGAAACTTCAAAGCGTTTTGACGACAAGTAGTTGGTAGCAGCCACATTAACGCAGCCGGCAGCTGTGGTAAGATTCGTCGTTGCAGATGTACTGGCAACTGTGAATCTCTTAAACTGTTTGAAAACCTGGCAAGTAACGAGGTAGCGAAGTGAGGTCCTAAACTGAGTGTTGACAGCGCAGTAGAGGATGAAATTGACTGAGAAGTTTGTCAAGAGGAGAACGTTGGACAGACGAATGAGAAACTCAAACGTGTGGCTACTCCTTGTGGCTACTGCTGCTGCTGCTGTTCCGGCTGCCGTCTGTGTGGTACGGACAAACACGATGACGTCAGCCGGAGTGACGAGGATGGTGAAGAGGAGGATGAGGAAAATTAGGGTGGCCGTGACCCGGTGACCCGAGTTGACCTGTGTGGGTGTGGGTTGTGGTGGGTGGCTTGGTCATTGGGAGAATAGATTATTTGAGAATTTGCTGAATGGATGTTTGGTTTCAATTTTTAAAAACTTCACTCATGTGTCGTTATAATTCTTTTTTGCATGTCACCATCTGTCAAGTTTTGCTTCAGTGTTTTATAATTCTTAGTTTCAATGAACTCCAGCAAAAACTGCGGAGAGAAACAAACAGACAGACGTGCAGATAGACAGACAGATAGACAGACAGACAGGTAGGCAGATAACATTATTTTGATGTTTCATGTTTTGATGTTGATGTAACTAAATAAATCAAATAAATCCAATCGATCAGTCAATCGATCAATCATTCTACAAATCAACCAAACTGTCAACCAACCAATCAATCAGAAACCAACTCACCTTAGGTTTATTAGCCCTGTAGAGAGCCTGCATCTTGCAGGAATGTTTGAGGGCTCTGATGAGACAGATGTTACAAAAAGTCAGAACAATAAGCGGAAGTAATATTGAGATTATGAATGTAAAAATCCCATAGCCTATCAGATAAGTGTACGCATTGAAACCTTGAGATCTGTTGCGTACGATAAACACACACGAACAAACGTCATCCAAGTTTGGCCGTTGTTGTTGTTGTTGGATATTTTGTTGTTGCTGCTGGTTTTGTTGTTGTTGTTGGTTCTGTTGTTGTTGCTGTTGTTGTTGTCGCTGGTCTTTTTGCTGTTGTTGGTGATGATTATGTTGTTGGTATTGTTGATGATCGTGTTGGTTTTTATGATGGAGATGTTGTTGGTGTTGGTTATGATGATGATTATCTTGTTGTTGTTGTTGTTGATGTTGTTGATGATGATGATGTAATTGGTGTTGTTGTCTGTCCATAAAAATTAGTAGCTGTTGTTGTTGCTGTG